CCCCCCCCCCCCCCCACCAATAAATCTAACCTTACTACAGCACTGGTAAGGTCACTTTTATCAGACCGATTGGGGCTTTTGAGAAAAACGAATAACTTCAAAACACTTCAAGCTATGACCACCAAACTTAGCAACTTCTCCTAAAATTTATCTGGAAACATTTTGAAGTCGTCGTAAATTGCAAGTCAACATTGACGTTACCATGGCAACGGAGTTTTGACCCTGATGTTTTTCAAAATTTGAATTTTTCCAAAAAAATTTTGTACTAATTGAATTATTGTATTACACTTAATTTAGCATTATTTTATCAAAGTTATTACAACTCTTAATGAAATCCAGGCTATTAGTGACCAGTTTAATGAAAAAACATGGCTGATGCTGCGTGAGTTGAATTTTCAACAGTTTCCATTTCTCTCGAAAATTCTTCATAAGCATCCTGTTTATGCTCAGATCAACTTTTCTTTTAAGAATACTTACATTCATTCGAGTTTTAAGTATTGAAAATAGCGGATGCTTTCAGTTCGTTTTTTAGTAATACGACATCATCATGACATCACTGCTACTGCTAAAGACTATTTATGTGTTAGCCAACTTCTTGACACCTTACTCGACCTTACTATTTACGTATTTTGCGCTTATTAATGTCTACTTTGAGGGAAACTTGGATTTTACCAATAAATTCAACAATATAGCGTCATGATAACGTTATATTACGTCTCTGGCGTAGCCAGCTTTTCGACTCGTTGTAGGCCTGCAATGTCCTAACCTTTTTAGCTCACCCCCCAGACACATATATATTTTTTTTACGAGAGGTAGAGAGATCAAACCAAAAATTTGTGGGCCCGGGCCTACAGAGGTTTATAGGCTGGCCACGCCCCTGAATACTTGGAAATGATGAGTACATTACTCTGTGTAATTTTGGTGACCGTAGCATGACTCAGTTGATGTTCTGACGTGTACGACTCGCTTTGACTCGGAAGATGACTACCGCACTAATTTTGAAAAGTCGTTCACTATCAACAACATTCCCACAGGCGAATCCTTGTTAAAATTTTCTTTTTTGCCTCATTAGCATGGGCTTATCATTATCTAATGAAGCTAATAAAATGAAATTTCTGAAAATATATTGAAAAAGCATAGCAATTTCAGTTATCGCTGAAAAGTTGAGCCCGATATAATACCAAATAATTTCAGTGAAATTCTCTTTGAAAAACTCCAAAATTAACAAATTAAAGAATGTATGGGCTCACCAACGTTTTTCCACCCAGTAATTTTGAAGTTTTTAATTGCTGCTATTTTCTCTGTTACTGATTGCAAAGAACTGAAACTTGCACAAACTGCAGGAATAAATGAGCTCTTTTAATTTTTGAACCTAACTGGTATATACGGCCACATCTTCTACGAGTTAAATCGTGTGCTAATGAGAAAAAATGTAAACAATGAAGTCACTATGAATCCGCCTATTCAGCACTACACTTACCCGGACAACCACGCTCCAGCTGCTGCTTATGATAGGATTCTTCAGTTTCTCTACCCTGGGTACCAGAGATTTTTTCTCAAATGTGACGAGGAGCTTCGTCGGCCGCAGGCCGACACGTCTTCAGCCTTCGGCCGAAGACACGGGCGGCGAAGCCGCGAGAAAAACTTTTCGCGCGGGTCACTTTTTAAGACTTGACAGAAACCGGAAACCGCGCATGAAAAGTCTCTGGCACCCAGGGTACAGTTTCTCCCGTAACAAAGAAGAAAAAAAATGTTTGTATAAAGTGATGTCTCCAATATTTAATGGGTCGGAAATCAAAGCAGCTGTAACTAGATGTTCTCCATCCAAATTTTCTTAAGTAGTACCATGTTTGACAGTACCGCCCTTTTTTTTCCGTTCAAGGCAGAGCCCAAGTGTCACAGCCAACACAAGGTTTTTGGAAGAGGATGTTGTCTTATCTGGATGCCATGTTCCTGCGAAAGTAAGTATTAAGACGGAATCCATTAAGAAATTGAGTAATTTTCATTTTCATTGGACAAAAACGTTGTGCCAGAATACTTTGAGCCTTATAGCATTCTTTCTTTTTTTTTTACGCTTTTCAAGGGCTATAGACATAATCAGTTTTCTGTAATAACACAAAAGACAAATTCTTATTGAGGCCCGAGAAAATAAATGTCAAATTTCACAGGAATTGAGAAAACATAGGTATAATCGTCATGCGTAAGATTTAATTTTGTAGAAATTAGAGGCTTTTGAGATTTGAAGTTTGTTTTCTTGGGCCTTTCAAATGTGTTTTACTGTTAAATATTCCAGCTTATTATGTCCGAACTAAGACGACTGAACATAAACATCACGGTAATATTCAAAATTACTGTCGCCCTGATCCGTCATGTAAGAGATCCCTTAAGATAGATGGAAGATAAATGAACTCTTACGAGTCTGGTAATAATGGACTTTTATGCCACAACTCTCTCAGAGAAGTACTTCAACGATCCTTTATAATTAGAGTTTAATCCCGAGCGCTGCCTTAGAGCAAGTAAAGAGGCCCATTCCTTTTCTCACCTGCAGTTTGTATTTGGACCCCGTATGTAGAGAAGCCATTCTGTCGAGGCGACATCCTGTCAAAGACTTCGCCTTTGGCACATGTTTACTCAGACAAGTATCACTTTGGGGAGTATGGCGCGCGCGCCCTTTAAGGGACGGACAAAAGGGGAACAAGAAACACGCAACTTGTCCTGCAACATTGCCGCAAAACGAGTTGAATAGCGTTGTTGTGAGTTTTATCACCCATATCAAACCTGTCTTGCAACAAATCAGGTTGTTAACAGGTTTGACAGACGTGGGTGGTAAAACGCGCAACATCGTTGCAAGTTTTTATGCGTGTTTCTCGCGTTCTCCCCTGCTCATCGCGTTTTCGCGCGCCTTCATTCCCCCTTTCTCATACCCATATTCTCAATCTATAAAGGATGATGTAATCAACTAAAGCATGTGAAAAGAAAGTTGAATTAAATTTTGTTTCTACAAGTTGCAATTGTAATTGTCGAACTGTCCAGTGACAAACCATCTTTATGTCCATCTTGATCAACAACATGCATAACTTTGCCCTTCCTGTAGGTCGTCATGTCGCTGAACTTGAGATGTACGTGTTTATGTGCAAAGTAAGTATTCCGTAAAAAGTATCCTAATACACTTTTTAACAACGAACTTTGTATGATACCAAGAGAATGAGACCGTCATCTCTTGATAATTAGGCTTCTTTAAAGAATTGTTTCGCCGGTCGCGATGAGAGGCAAGGAGAGTCATGTTCTAGTGAAAACATTCCGATTCCGCTGTCACGATTTCGTCGATTAGAAGTTAGTCAAAGCTACAATAGTCGTCACATTTGATGAAGCATTTGCGTCCACTCCAATTCTGATCAATCATGTACCTCCTATCACTGGGGAAGAGGAGAAGGAGAAATGCACATGTCATAAGTTTCTGTCAGGGGTAGGACCCAAGGGGTGGGGGTATCATAACAAGACAAAGTCCCCTGGTTCAAGTGCTTCTCAATGGAAAATCCCGTCGTGATATATTTCTTATATAACTTGGATTTAGTTAATTGAGGGGACTTTTTATGAACTATTTCACTAATAGGACAATTGCACGATGACGTCATTTTACTACAACTACCAGAATCCTTAAGTTTGTTGTTTTCTTGTGCAAATTAAGGTTATTGTTCTTTAATCCTCAGCGGGATTGACTAATTTAAATAACAAAGCAAAACCGAAATGAATATTACAACTGGATGTGGTACATGGGTGTGGTCCGGGACAATATACGATGTTTTACATGAAGTACACACACATTTTGAAGCGGGGCAGGAAGCGGGGCCATCTTTGGTAACGAGCTGGGCGAGCTGGGCGAGCTGGGCATCGTTAGTAGGTGAGCTGAATTTATCTTATTTACACTCTCAATATTAACGTCTCAGCTATCAAAACAATGTATCTTCCTTTGTGCTTTGTGATTCCCTTAAAAACGGGAGTACAGTTTAGACTTTCTCGTTTCAAGGAACGAGAGACAGTTGACAAAATTGCGGTAAAGTTCTTGTTCAATGATTTGTTAAGCTCATGTCTTTCGATAAACAAGACTTTACGTCAAACCTATCCTTAAATGTGTTCCGTTTTCAAGACTTTATAAGTTATTTTCATATTTTGAATTTGTCTGTAAATCGATAAACTAAGCCTTGGTGAACATGGCCGTGCTTCTTTCTGTCCCTAGATTAGTATGAGATTTTGCCAAGCCGCACCCCCACTCCCTTTCCCATGGAAGGCATGATTTGATAATATCCAGAAGGACCCTGTCGGAATCTAATAATTTAACCACAAGAAAGGTTTTTGGAATTAGCATTTTACCCACAAGGGTCTCTTGGAATCTCAGATTACTTCAAGGCCTTAGGAAAGTGGGAGATTTGGGAACTGTAGGAATCGCAATTTAAGAGATAGGGGCCTGTCAGAATCATGCTTTCCATAGAGAGGGTGCAGGTGGAATGTCCCTATAAGGCTCTGACACTTAATAACAAAGTTTTCTATTCTATTAGATATTCTAATTTGTACTTGCATGTAGATTGACCTGCTCGCCTGAGTCAGGGGAGGGTGGACTTTCTGGTACAGTCAAAGCTCAGGTAGAGACCACCACGGAAAATTTGAAAAAGTGGTCGTAAACTAGAGCTCTTGTGTTTTCCAAGAATGGGTTCTCCCCAAAAATGGCTAATAAGAACTGAACCACGTTCTGCATATTATCCAATCCAATCATTTATTTATTTATTATTATTTATTTCGGACACACAAACAATTACAATACAATACATTTACGATTCATTACAATAAATTCTAATTATCGGTTACTAAATTTTACCTTACATTGAAACAGGTAACTGTTATCATTTACAGAAGGGAAAAAGTGAAATAAAAATAAAAAGAAAGACAAAGTCCATAAAATACTATAGTTTATATATTAACAATTAAGAACAGGCTGCCTGTCTTTTGGTCCTCCATCCCCCATCTGCCCATCTGCCACTTGCACTTTAATTAACTGTGTAGATCAAATTATTTTTCTGAGGGGCATTGTTTGAAAGTAGCCCATTTCTTCCTAAAGAAGGTTAAGCTATTATTATCAAAGGCAATCTGTTTCTTAATTTCCGTGAAGCGTATTCATGACTCCAATCCGATTTTAGTCAGCATTGTTATTAGCAACAATCGTAGGCAAAAACCTTGAAACACTTATTTGAGGAGGATTGTAAGGGAACCAAAATATACCCAAAATACGTGTCCGGAAATACAAGTCAATTGCTTATGAGGCACATGTCTGCCCTGAAATGTGTCAGTGCACATTTAGACTCATTAGTATGTGAGCCACCTCTTTTTTTAGAGGTGTTATATGTTGTAAATGGTCAACAAGCTTCAAACACTTGGCAGATCCAAAAAAATTTAGGTGCAAAATGCCAAGTGCAACTTTCACTTGCTATTGAAACTCAAATTTTTTAATACCCGGTGCACATCTATTTCGATCATGAATTGAGGAAACAGTCATATTTCACAGAATCAAAACCAGGCTAATGTAACAATAATGTGGAAGAAAACATCACTTACAAAATTGTCTTGAGTTTGAGTTGAATTTTAAGCACCAATTAGGAACTTCACAACATGACAATGGACATTAAAAGTTGAACCTCATCCGACGGCACTTGCTCGTAAATGAAATTTTCCTTGTGATGACCAAATTTGCATCAATGACACTTTGTCATAGGTAGCGAGACTTTAGGAATGAAAAGGAGCGCTCTAACTTTAAGTAACAGATCTTGAGGTACAATGCACCGCGTTAGCACAAAAATAAAATTCTAGGATTTCTAGGCTTTAGTGGGATATGAAGAATTATGCAGATCTTGGAGGGTATTATCCACCTCAATCTACATAATTCTTCATATCCTACTTAGCCTCATTCAATAATTGCTAAATAATTTCATTTCATGCCGATTTTGTCGCTTTTAAAATAAGAGCTCTAATTTTCAGCTCTTTAAAGAATGCCTTTTATTGTACAGGTGTATGAACACATATAAAAGTAGGATGCCGAGCAATTTTACAAGTGAAACCCCGCATGTCACTCATGAAAAGTTCCTAAGAATGAACAACTATCAAGATTCTTCAAACCTAACAATTTGTTAACTGTTTTTTTTCTAGACAAAGTACCACAAATCAAAGCTGTCGCAGTGAATAAGAAAAGAAAAATCTTTTCCTTCCTGACACGTCATCACTGATGTGTGCACTCATCCGAGCTGACATTTCCATTGCATCAGTTTTGCGTCTGCATTGTTCGCTTAGTTCTGGCCTGCACTGTAGCTTCCTGTGTTTTTGCAGGTACCCCCCTCTGAACAGCTAACAGCCAACAGATTGTCAGCTAACTGGAGGCTCTCCATACAAGCTTAAGCACAGTGGTAGATGTATGTTAGTGGAGTATTCAAGTGTCTGAGATGTGCATTTTCCTTCAAGTAAAGCTCTTGGTGGGTATTCAACTCATTTCTCCAGGCCTTTTATACATGTACCTAAAAACAAAGAATCAAGGAATTTCAAATTTTTGACTAAAAGCATGAGCTAACCTTTTTGGAAGAAATCCAATCTGGTGGCTATGAAAAATCGATATTTTGGCTTCTTTTCTATGTAGAACATCAAGAAACGATTTTTCTAGGCTGTTTTTACCCCAAAACAATGATTTTTGAGTAAAAGCATGCCTGGCTAACCCCTTTGGAAATAATCCAATATGGTGACTACAGTGTAAGTAAAATCAAATTTTTTATTGTCTAAAAATGCTCATCAAGAATATTCCGCAACATCTCTTCTCGGGTTTTTCTTTTTTTTTTACCAAAAACAAACAATCTAGAAATTTCAAATTTTTGACCCAAGGCGAGGCAGTGTTCAATCTAGAAATTGGTCAAAATGGGTCATACATGTATTAATTGCCACATGGCATTTTAAATTGGGTTTGGGTCAAGTCAAACTATGATATTGACATATTATTTTGTACAACTGACATCGCCAAACTGACTTCTCCAGCTTTACCATCCTTCTCCAACCCATCTTTATGCTTTTCAGGTTCAACAGCCATTTTCTTTAACAGTATAAAAAGTGAACTTAGTTTTTGTTGTCCTTTCATAATGAAACAAAAACAAAAGAACAATAAGTCAACAAATGAAGCGTGAATCGATCAGCAAAGCAACGTATGCAGAAAGTCAAAATGTATGCTCCAGTCTCTCCTGGAAAAATGAATTTTAAGCAACTTCAGTCCATAACTTGGGAAGTTCTTTTTCTAACATGCTTCATCAGTAAATTTAGTTTCTGTAGCTTGAGTATTAAATGTAAAACCTAACCGTATGATTGACTCACAAAACGGATGCCATATTGGAAATGGTATAATACCCGGCTAGATGCTTCAGGCCTCAAATTTTACCGGTTACAGTGCTCGACACTAATGCTAGTCCACTTGCCCAGGACTAGTGAACATTTCCGCTGGGCTAGTAAAAAATGTGCTCCTACTAGCCCCTAGACCAGTTACTTTAATAGACAAAATAAATTTTAAACAACTTGAGCCTAACTTGGGAAGTTTTTTTTCTAATATGCTTCATCAGTATTTAGTTTCTGTAGCTTGAGTATTAAATGTGAAACCTAATTGTATGATTGACTTGCAAAACGGATACCATATTGGAAATGGAATTATACCTGGGCTGGGTGAAATCTATCACAGGTGTGCCTGATTTTGAATTTTTTTGCACATCAACGAGAGCGCATCCTTCAATGGCCGATGGTTCTTAGGCAGATTTTCTTTGTTTACCAGAGGACCACACACACAGCATGAAGAGAAAGAGATGCAATAGGTCATCGTTTTCTAGATCCCCGAAGGTTGAAAGAAACATATTTTCGGCTGGGATTCATTAGCGGAAAAAATGTTTTGTGGCTGTGTGTGTACTCAAATAGTAGTGCTAAGAGATAAGCAAATTCCAACCACTCTTTTATCACAAAAACAGAAAATTTCCTTTTTTTGTCTCTTCTTGTTTAAAGTTGGACGTTCATAAAATGTATTGACTGTTTTAATAAAGAACTGAAAACAAACAAAGATAACACAGCAAGTGTTTATTTGTTTGCATTTTGTTTTAAAATATATAGTTTATAGACTGGACACTGGAAGGAGTAGAGTGGCTCCTTACCCGCTGGGTATATTTTTTTCTGGGTTTTCTTTCTTTTTTTTCGACCAGTGACTTGTCCTCTTGGGCTAGTGATTTATTTCACTTGCTAGCCCATTGTCTAGTGTCCAAAAAAAGTTAGCGTCAAGTACTGGGTTACCTTCTAATAAGGAGAACACTGCATGTACAATTTTTTTTTGTTAATGTTGTCTATGACTGTTGAAACTGATCATCTCCCAAGTACTGTAGTAGTACATGTGAGGTGGATCTGCTCAGGTGGTTCAGAAGTGATGGGTTTTCATGTTACTTTTCTTGTTCCCTCTCCAGGTTGAATGTTCATCAGTGAATAATATTATCATTATTATGGTAAAGGTCACAGTCAGTCAAAGATATGCAATCACCTAAATGAACAACAGCATGGACATTTTTGCCACACAGGTGAGATGAAATGTATATAATACACCTGTACCTGCAGGTACACTCTCTGCATTGGTCACCTAGTTGTGACCTATACTGTATTTGTCCAAAAGAGTAACTGTCATGAGCCACGGAACATGGTATGGTTTTTAAGGTCTTGAATCTTAAACAAGATAAAAATTTTACTATTACTAATTTTAGCATCTTGAAGAGGGTGTCTTTTTGTTCTGGAAGAGTAACTTTATGCCCCAGTAGTGACCCTCATCCAATTTCTTCCAACAATAACACTGC